GATCCTTTTCGGCCGAAAACTGAGTTAAGTGAGATTTTACAGCGTCATCATCATTAAAAGTTTTACCACGAAGGGAGTTGTCCAGGGATCGAAATAAGTGGTAATCCGATGGCGCGAGATCAAGGCTATATGGTGGGTGTAACATCAATTCCCAATCAATATCCATCAATTTTTGCCGAGTGGACAAAGACGTGTGCGGCCTAGTATTGTCCTGGTGGAAATGACACCTTTACGATTGACCAATTCTGGTCGTTTTTCCTTGACCGCTGCATTCAATTTGTCCAGTTGCTAACATTCACGGATAATAAAAAATAACATAATAATAATAATAATAATAATAATAATAATTTTATAATATAACATTTACGGATATCATAAAAATGGGAGTGAGAGACATCTATAACTGAAATCGGCAATTACTTAGTTGCCAACCCAATAGTAACATATGACGATTCTGAAACATTCTGCTTTGCACTTTAATGACACTTTTTTAATCCCTTCGCTAAAACTGATATTCTATACGCAGAACCGTACTACATAATTACATTTATATGTGTACCTTAATTGTTACTACAAAGTGCTACATGAGTATCATGTCTCTTAATTATCTAAATGTTTCTTAAAAGAAAGTCTTACACGTCAAGTGTTGCTTCTTTTACTTCATATTTATGTCGCATCCTTTACAAAATAATAATTCCAGATGATTGGTTGATTGAATGGAGTGAGATTGTTAGCATACTCTTAAAGCATTAACTTTTTACATATTTCTTTATCTGTTTTCCTACTGTTTACGTTATCATTAAGGACGGTACCGACATGATAATTATTTACATTACTAGGAATGATTAAAAAGGTAAAACAGCTACATAAATCATAATAATTTTCGACATTTTTTGCTTCTTTCTAGGAAAAAACTACTTGTTTATTGCAGTTCAGTGTTTTGAAAGTCTCAAATTGAAATTTTTCACTGGAGGAGCATGTAAGAAGAATCAACTACAAAAATATTTGTAGTAATCTGAATCGTATCGATGTCGTTTAAATAATAGAAATATCCTAACTTACTTTCCATTTGGAATTTATGTATATGTAAATATTGCAAAGTCAAGTTAATATCCATCAAACCGAGGATATAGAATCACGTTACAATGGACCCGAAATATATTTTCGTGGCACAAAAAAAATCTGTTTTCTGCAATTATATGTTTCGTTGTGTAAGTCTTGTTCTCAGTGTGAAAAGTGGCAAAACATAAGAAGCAAAACGGAAATTGACGAATCGAGGGTTGGAACTTGAATGGTTCTCAGACACATCCTACTATATATCCACTATGTTTGTGACGTTTTAACAATAGGTCAGTTTGTACAGTTGACATTCAGTTATCAAAAGTGTCACTTTTAACAATTTTATTTTTAAAATATGTCATGTGTTTTAATCTGTTTAGGTGTGTAGATCTATTTTGTATATCTATGAATTGCATTACAGTAGACTGTTCAGAATTTTGTTAGGGAAGAAGGTAAAGAGAATTCTGTTTCTGAATTATCTTCGTTCAATTATATCACTTTGTAAAGAACGATTTGGTCGAAACTTAATTAGACAAGGATAAAAATAATTCCTTCGGCTATAAATTCACGGAACAATTATTAACATATACGTATTTTAATCCTACGAAAAATATCTTTTCAGAAATGCCTAATTTCTCGTTATTTTCAAGTTGTATGTTATTCGCACAAAAATCTGCGCCATGACTTGCCAATTCAAAAGTTATAATAGCAAACATTTTACTAGCTTTTCCCGGAGATCGAAGATGCAAATGGATCGGACTACAGTGAAACTGATTCCGGTCGAGAAGTTTTGTCAGATATTGAGATATAGGTGCGTTGCGTATTGTAAATTGTTTTTTCGTAGAGTTGGCAACGATGAATTGATATATATATCTCGAATAACAATCTTCAATTTTAGTGTTTCAATGAAGAATAAATTTATACATTCCGAATAATTTTCTTTAACTTCAACTTCAATTTCTCGCACTTCAAAAATCTCTATGATGAAATTACTATTCTCAACATTACTGAAGGCCAATTTATTATGAATTGTATTGTTATCGTATAACGCATTATAATATTACAATAGATACGATTCTGACAATCATTTTTTTTATGTAAAAAATGTATTTTTATAATAAATTATTTTTAAATGTTTATAAAATTATTGTACATAAAAATCGTTATCAAAATTGGTCTCTACAATCCGAACAAAAATATAACATGGTCTACTTCATAATGAACAGTTTTCTGCGCGTTTAACGATTTAGCTGATTTTATTAGCCCACCGTGCGTCAGTGTTGCGAGGGTTAAAGGATTAAGTATGGAGATCGCAGCGAGGGGAGAGACCAACCATTAATGACTTCCTGTCGCTTTTTCTCGGCATTGCTGAGTCTGGCGAGCACATCCTCAGCGACACCCTGACTCCAGTCCGGCGGATCTGGCTCGACGTCAACATCGCTGTCCCACGAGGTCGATGTGTTCGTCGCTGAGGTGGTTGGATGTACCTGCTCCAGGCTGGTACTTGGACTGTCCAGACTTCTCGTCGACAGGCTGCTATTCGACGAACTGCCGGCTGAGTTCCCAGGGAACGAACCGGAATGATCGCAGTCACTGAAACCAGCCCTAGAGTCAATTGTTAGCGAATTATGCATTCTACGTTTGAACTGTACCAGCCAGTTCAGCCACTCGAAACTTTTTCAAGCCGTCTATACCATCGACTAACATTAACCTTAACATGTTACGTAAGATCCGTGAAATATTCGAATTGGTCGCGGCGCATAAATTCGAGCGGACATGCAGAGACCGTTCCACGCCTTTTATCAATTCGAGATGGTCCAAGGTGCATTCGTATTTTTCATCTTACGCAATTATGTTAAGCAGACATTTCCATGAGACTGTTATTCTTATTTTTAGGAGAGTATAGATACCGCATAGTGGATCCAATATGTAAATTAAAACTAACATTTTGTTATTACTACGTACATTAACAAATAATTTAAGTCCAGCTTAACGCCTGCTCTCGCACAAAATACCAATTATATTTTTAGTTTGCCGACGAGATACAGCGAAAATCGTCGAGTTAATTTCTCGAGAATTGTCACTAATTGATGCGATGAAACCTCAGAAATTCGATTCAAACAAACTAAAAGCGAGCTGAATTTATAATATGACCGTTAAAGTAAATACAGCAACAAGAAAAACACGCGATGAATTTCGATCTTTTGAATACGTAATAGGTTCGTCTCGAAATTTTAGAGAACATTTTTCTTGGAAAATATGTGTACATTGCAACTTTACGTTTATATCAGAATTAAGCGCAGTGTCATTACTGCAGCAAGATAATAGTTTTAACGAAATAGTTTCTTACTTAAAAAGAAAGCTTTTCGCTTTGAAAAGTTAACGTATTCGACATTTTTTAACAACAATGCAAATTCTATCGTAAATACAATGTCAGAGACACTTTGCATTAAGTAAACCAATTATATTGGTGAATTCTAGCGTAAATATAAGAAATCCTGAATCTTTCAGAAGTATGAACATAACTCGTATCATTGTTACAATACGAAGATATTTGGAGGTCCTCCAGTTCTCGCACGAGGTAAACGATGAAAGGGTTACAGGTTAACCCCTTGCACTACGATTTCTTTCACAGCTATGTTGATTAGCGCTTCTTCGACTTTAATCATTTCTTTGATAGAACGAGATAATTTTAGTTTCTCGTACACTCGCGTCGGCATTTATGTTGACACCTTCGATTGTTAGGCATTCTTACATATGTCTGTCGTGTATCTCCCTTTTGTTTGAAATTTGGCGTTTGCCGTTTATTGTTTCCCTCACATCGACAATGCATCAATATCGAAGGAGAAGCCGAACTGTTAATATTATTCTAAACTTTTCAATTGAAAGTGTAATTCTTGAATTGTTCTATCGTCGGAAAGTAAGTTTACATGTATTAAATATTTTATTTTTTAATTAGAATATTAAATTTATAGTTTGTTATTTGTATGTTTGTGTATATATTTTATATTATAGTAGGTAATTTCTTACGAAATACCAAAAGTTAGAGAATTGAGTGCAACAGAACGAGTACAAATATATGTATAATCGTCGAGCAAATAGGAAATTATTGAAAAAATTTGCTATGGACTTCAGCATTTCAAGAAAAGGTGTAAGAATGATATTTCAAAACATAAATATTAGTGGGAAACCAGAAAATTTAACTGGAACTGGAGGAGGAAGACAACAATTGGTCAAAACAGACAAATAAGTTCGAGAAGTTAAAAAAAAATCCATCTCTTAGTGCCGTAGAATTGAAAAAAAAATTATGTTTGCCCATTAGAATTATGCAATATAAAATCTCGTATAAATGAAGACAATTTGAATGGCCGTATATCGCAAAAAGGCATATATATATATATATATATACATGTTACCGCGAATGACCGAAATTGGAGAATGTCGACTTTCACCGGTGAATGTCAACAGATACCAAATACGTCGGTGAAAGATCGAATATTTCATTACATTGTTTTACATTCGGACCCTCTCCGGCGTGTGTCGACAATCACAGATATGCTCTGGTGGAGGTCCAAAACAGAAGAGTCAAAAAACAAGTGACTCGCTCTCTCCCGCCAAATCCTTTGTTGTAAAAGCAAGGGACTCTTGTGCAATTCAAAGTGTCATAATAGTTTAAGTTGTTGCAATAAATAAGATTTGAATCACATAAGTAAGTAATTTTTTTATTACTATTATTTTCTTTTCTCATGTAGAATGTACCGTGTATTTTAAATTCTTGGTCATTCCTTTCAGAAAGAGAGGCGAAAAAGTTACGTCACCCTTGTGGCGTTTTATAGCGACTGAATTACGGAGAAGAAAATATAAATCTCCAACATGTTTTCAACATTCACCATTAGTGCATGGTGAATGTCAACATTTACCGGTGTAAGTCAGAAATAAGGGTATTTAGCAAATATTTCGGACATACACCAAGCGACTATGTGAATGTTGACATTCACCGGTGAAAGTCGACATTCTCCAGATTTCGGTGTTTCACACTGTAACATATATATATGATAATATTATAATATTAAAATTAAAATTTATAATTAAAAAGTCAATTTCGTTCTGGGAAACAGTTATTTGGAGTGATGAATCAAAATTCGAAATGAAATCAAGTAAAAGGAAGACAATATTATACATACATATATAGGGGAAAGTAGGAGATGCGTTTAAACCAACTCTTATGACTCCAACTGTGAAACATGGAGGTTGCTCCATTATGATATGGAGCTGTTTTAATAACGATCGAATTTTGGAAATTTAGCCATAACCCAAGGGAGACTGGCCGACTCAAAGTATGTTGAATTATTACAGGAGAAATTGTTTTCTTCGATGCATAAATTTGAAAGAAATAGGTTGTTCGTCTTTCGGCAAGACAACGACCCGAAGCACACCTTAAGAGTTGCAAAAGAATTTTTTTAAATTTTAACTATATAAACTTTAATTTTAACTATATACAATATTAACTATATAATTTTAACTATAACTGAAAGATACACAAAATCAAAATTTATAGAAGCATTGAAGAAAGAATGGAATGAAATAAGGCTCTCTACGCTGAAAAAATTAATTGGAAGTATGTCAAGTCACCTTTTAGAAGTAATAAGAGCCAAGGGATGTCGAACTTTATACTAAAAAAATTACAGTAATGCAGGACGTGCATTAAATTAAAAAGTCAAAGAGAAAAGTCGTTAACTTAATTTTTGATCATTTATAATAGAACGTGTCAACATAAATACCGACGCGGAGTGCGTGTCACAATTTACCTTCGTTCCTAGATCTTGATAATAAAAGAATCGTATTTTGGTTCGATTTCGAAGAACTGGATAATATTCATATTTGGTTATGCATGATATCTTTATCTCGAGTCTGACTCATTATTATAGTGCAATGGGTTAAGAGACCTCTTTCACACAGTAATACATGTAGGGAAGACCGGTGACGGTCGTAACACTTTAATTTTAGAATACGATTACACGTACACTATCGTATTTAAAACGGCAATTATTGTACGAACCTCTTGCCTATTTATCTGAAATTATTCAGTTACGATGGTTTTGTTGTGCATTAAGGAATATTCAAGTTATTAATAAAATATGGGAAGCGGGTAAAATGTTACAACCGACCCCGACCCCGACCCCGAGACGGTTGCAGGACCTTAGACATCTTCGTATGCTTTTATATCCTTGCGCTAGTCGAGCTCGCCCCTCATTGGCTAGTGTTTATCGTTAATAGTTCGTAAACGAAGCCGTGGATCGCATTTTCGCTAAGGAAAAAGTTACTTGAAATGACGTAAATAACATAATTTTGGGACACTTTGTATGTGTATATCCGAAATTATTGAAGATACAAAGTCGCCCTTTTCCTGGTACACCCGAAAAATACACGTATCTGAATACGTATTTTTATTATATTATATACGTACTTTTATTATATTGAAAAAGATATTTTTCACCACAATAACCGACTCCACGACCCTATTAACGTGTGAAAGAGGCTCCAAGGGTTCGCTGTATCTACTCTCCGCGGGCTGTCGGTGTAAGCTGCCGATCGAATGGAAAATAAACGAAGCCAGGTTGGTCTTTATACCTCTCGGATCTCGTACGTCGTTCATGAACACTGTGGTCCTCGTGATTGGCGACGTCGTCAGGAACTTCGGGGAACCGTTTCTCGACGTTCGAGCACCCCGGTAAGATATCGTTCGACTGATCGAGGGGCGAAGATGGTTCCGTGCACGATATTGGACTAGTTAAGTTTTCGTTGCCACGAGAATTAGGTCGAGGACGGCGTCGCGAACTATGCTGCCTCATCTCTTATATCTCTTTAGCCCTAAAGGGCTTCCGCGATGGGACAAAGCCGATAAGCATGAGCTGTCTCTATAGTAAACGCGACATTACGTGTACACCGGTGGATCAGGAATTTTTACCTGTGGAAAGGAAAACCGCGAAACCATACGTTACATACCAATTCGTCGCTTTTCATTTTTTCCCCCCACTAAAAGGATTAAGTGATCTCATTATCATTCGTTTCCAATTACTGATCTATGCGACGACGGTTACACTATGCGACAATGATGTACGACACTGCATAAAACCGTATCGATTTATGTTAAGCAAAATAATTTCTACTTCCTGTATATTGCTATCCTTAACTAACAGTTCCGACCATTCAAAAGAATGAAGCTTTGAATGAATAAAATCGTTTTTAAATAAGTGAAAGCAAATGGAATCGCATCTGGAACTCTATGAAATATATAAAGTATTCTAACTTTGCTTAAAAGGTAAAAGGCACGCGATGTAAAAAGATCCTAAAAAGTGGCATTAGTAGATAAGACGTTTCAACTAAGAACGGCAGTTAACGAAAACTACTGACCAATCAGAGATGAGCTCGGTTAGCACGAGGCGGCGAGCCAACGAGCGGTTGAAGTCTAGTTTCACTCATTGGCTCGGTGGGCGCAAGGCAGCGTCAAATTATCGTCTCTGATTGGTCAGTGTTTTTCGTTAATAACTTGTAAACGAAATCGCGGATTGTATTTTCGCTAAAGAAAAAGTTACTTCAAGTAA